GTATTTAAAGACCCATATATAATCTATTAATTGAGGCTTTAATGAATGAAGTGACTAAAATTTAAATACAATTTTAAAATGCCGTCCTTTATACTAAAAATTAAACAAATAGCAATAATAATCTGACAAATTTTATTGTTTATTTTTCCTATTTTTAATTTTTCGTGAACGTCTTCCTCTAACTTTTTAAAAAAACAATTATTATAATATATTAAATGTAAATTTTAAATTATAATTATTTATTTTATTAATTTTAATTTATTTCTCTTTGTTCCTAGAAAATAAGGAAAAATTTTATTCATTGGGAAATCCTTTTTTTTTTTAATGATTTTAATTTATTTATAAAGAAAAATTTGAACATTTTTTAGAATGAAAACGTTTAAGTGCATAGAAAATTTCGGTGCAGCTTTTAAATTATCTTGAAATTTATGCATTGTATGCTGTAAATAATATATTTTTAAATGTTTATTCTAATTTATACATTGGAAGAGAATTAATTGCTTTGTTAATTATGTTCGTTCTTACAATTTAAAAATTCATTAAATAAATTACCCGAATTATTAATTGAACCACTGACATTTCGAAATCTAAACAATAACATTATTAGCAAAGTCAGGGACGTATGGAGCTGGTGAAGAGCGAGTCCCCTTTTTTTAAATAATTGAAATGAGTAGAATATTAATTAATAAAAAGCAGTTTTAAAGATCTTATCTAGTAAAAATAACATTAATTTACCTATGTAGGAATCACTATGAGCCCCCAAGTGTCCCCCCTCAACGGCCCTGAACATAAAAATATTTAATATTCAAAATAATAATATTTTATTAACTAATGCACCTGTAATGATTGAGAAATCTCAAAGCATATTTCATCCACTTTTTTTTTTTCTGTTACTATGTCTTACAGAATTTTTCTCTGCCAAGTTCTTGCATTTTCAGAAATTCTAAAATAACTTTTAATCCTTTCGTTAATTATTATAATTTATTTAACGAAGGGCTAAACATGATGATAAATGATTTACTTACTGAAACTGAAATGATTAATTTTATATTAGTAGATTCAAATAATGAATTTTTGTGTAAATGAATATAAAATTATAAATCTCATTTAGTATTTTATAAAATGGAAGAAAATAAGAATATAAATTATTTAAGAAATTTTATCTCAGTTGCTAATTTTATGTAAGTATAACAGCTTTTAACTTTTATAAATTTGTTTTAGTTTATTTTTTAATATTTTTTTACAATAAAAATATACTTAAAAATAGGCAATGATATTTTAAATCATTCAACCATCTTTTATTAAAAGAAAGTTGTTTTTTCATATATATATATATATACACAAGTAAAGGGAGATAATTAACATATTACCTATTAGATTTATCTCTTATAAAATGTTTCAATTATAATTTAATCACAAAAATTTTAGTCACAAACGCATATTTAGTGGTGAAAATGTAAAATAGTATCTAAATATTAAAGAATTTGTTTCTCAACTTTTTTCATTCATCTTAGTTTATAAATATTGCTATTAGAGAGATTTTTAGAATATTAGCTTCTAGAAAATAATATATATATTTTGGTTAATATTTAATTAGATTTGCTAACATTTTTCATCGAATAAATCTATTCTTCCAACAAGTAATAAGTGAAGTAATATATATATATATATTGTCTCAATATGAAATCATAGAGATTTAGTTATATATTCTTGCAATTAGAAATTCATTTTGTTTAGGGACTGAATGATTAATTCAGCGAATTTTTATCATTTGAACACCTTTGCTTATGTTATATCTCTTTCTACGCCTGTAATCTTTCAGTATCTACTCGTAAATTTATGCATGTCAATATTTAATGTAACTTTACTTCCGTACTGGATCTATAAATTCAACACGAGCGTATTATAATTTTTCTTATATTAATTGTACACACATTAAACGTAGTGATGTCATTTTTCACCATTATTTAGTTCGAACTTAACTTAAAATTCTTATTTAGTAGCAGTTAGATGGAGGAAGGAAACAAACATCCCATTTCTAAAACCGTTTATAAAGTATTTATTTTTAATTTCTTAAAATAAAAAACTTATGGCGATATATATATAAGTGATATTATACACAATTATAAATTCGCTTTGAATTGGGAGAAGTTATTTATGAAATAATTTTAATAAAATAAATATAAAAATCTTTATTAAATCTCTAAACATTTTTCTCTTTTCTGAACGTTATATTATTTCTCTGAAAAATGTATTATTTATAGAACAAACCTAACTAAATTATAATATGAATACATTCAATTAATCCATAAAACTTTTTAAACACTAAAAATAAAAATTTTAAGGGTGGGAGAAACCTTTGTCAAGTCTTACTATTGTTCTGAATAAACACGAAAACTGCTCGACTGCAGCTAGGTTGGATTAAGGTTGTGTTCTGCAACTCTCCATCTGCCCCATTTAATCAGACGATTGCATTTCCACTCACGAATCAACCGGGATTTCCAGACAAATAACTTACTTTTTCGTTTTAAGATTCTATTGAAGATTTTTGCCCATTTCTCTGCTGTTTATATAAAACAATTTTAAGAAGTTTTCTTATAAAAAAAATGTCTGAAGTATTTCCATTTGGTTAATTGAATAGTTCTTCCTTTCGAAAAAACTGTACCGAGGAAAGAAAATAAATGCACCAGGTGTTATATGTTCGCTCCGAATTTTAGCTAAATGAACTCTCTATTAATTACAGAAGTTTTCACTTTGTTATATAATATCAGATTTAAATAATAATCTTGTCTAAAATGATCTTTTTCTATTGAAAAAAAACTCTTGGAGTAATGACATTTTACTAAAATTTTTCAGTAAATTAAATACAAAAAGAAAAAAAAAAACTAATATTTTGTTATTAATTTAAAAATCAATATTTTAGATTTGAATTCAATGTAAAGAAAGTCATAAGTTCTTATATTATTAGCTTGAAATTTCAGGTTTATCATTTGCATGAACGAATTGTAGTTATGTGTTTTCTACTTAGATCACATGGTGAAAAGATGATAAAAATTCTAGTAGAGAACTGAGAAGTTTTTGAAAGATTAAAGTGAGAACACCATTTTCATAATCCCATGTTTTTATTTCGACGGTTATACACATGCAATTTTGACGACAAAGTTGGTAATGTTATCTGAATACTTTCTTACGCGTAGCTTTCCACATCAACAGTACACCATATTCAGTACTCTCGGAGGCGGATTTAGGAATTATATATACTATCTATATCACTTTACAATCTTTCAATAAAACTTACTTTAAAAATTAAATAAAATTTTCCAAACATCAGCAATTTAAAGTGGAAAAACAGAAGTTTAAAATGTAATCTCCCAGAAAAAATAAAATAAAAAATGAGTGGGAACCGGGAAAGTGCTTATGACCAACATCCGCATGGTGTTGATAACCTCGAATACCCTGTTTCACTAACATACCAACTGCTACTAAAAGACAACACTTTGTACTATTTACAAGGGATATGATATAAATGACTGCTGTGGGCTTATTTTCGGTATATACTGTGTGATTTGCTGGTTGGACACTTCATCGCCTTCAGGAAAAAGGGATATTCCGATAGCAACAGCATCTCCGAATTATGGCCGTGTTGAGCGTTGACACACTAAAAGGAACTCTTTCACAACATTTGGAATTTCCAAGCTGGTTTTTCCGTGTTATATTCGAGACAGTCTGTTGGAGGAAGACCTCCGTTCATCGGAGGTGTTCTAGACGTAAGAGTTTGAGATGGTAAACCCACAGGACTCATATGGGAAGTCATTGTTGGCGAACCCATTTGATTCAAAGTCGAAGACATGGTGGTGACGCTCAACTGAGCGTGCGTCATGGAAGGAGGTAGGTAGTCCATGTTTCCGTAATAGGCTGTCGGTGGATAGGTCTGGCTATAGCAACTTGGTGTCGAAGGGGTGTTATTGGTCATCTGATACGAAGCACGCTGCATACAGCTGCTGCCGGACATCAAATCGGACACAGGTGTGATTGCTGCGGGACTCCAAATAGAGCTGGTGTTAACTGACGACACCGAAGGCGAAGTTGATAGAGGTTGAGGTGGTTTGTACGGAGATTCGCGGGTTGTTGGCGGTGAACTGGTAGTTTGAGGACTTTTGGATTTCTTTGGTCGTGTTTTACTCGCTCCTCCATTTTGCTGCTGCTGTTGCTGGCGACACTTTGCTCTACGATTCTTAAACCAAACCTGTTAAAATAAAAACGAGTCAAATTAAAGTATTAAGAAATCTCTTAAAATAACATTGTTTAAAAGTATAGTGGACATCTCTTTTTGTTCTTCACCGAAATTTTATTTCTTTCAAAACTGTGTATAACAACTTGAATGGAATCTCTTTATATGCAACAATTACTTTATGCTCATTGTTTCAATGAGCATAAAGTAATTGTTACTTTATGCTCATTGAAACAATGAGCATAAAGTAATTGGTATTACAAGAATTTTATTTCTTTCAAAACTGTGTATAACAACTTGAATGGAATCTCTTTATATGCAACAATTACTTTATGCTCATTGAAACAATGAGCATAAAGTAATTGGTATTACAAGAATTGTGTAAAATTTTTTAAAGAAAAAAAGAAAAGAAACTTTCTATTATTTCAATATAACGAATTGTGGATATTCTTCTAATTACTTAAAAGAAAATATTTTTTTTTATTTACTCTTAGAACTGAAACCGATTTACAGTTTACAACGATCATTGACTACGCAAAAAACTTAAGCCACTGAAGGAAAAAGAATTGATTCGATATTTTATGATCATTTTTTATTGATTTAAACTTTACCATATATTAATGTTTTAAATATAAAACACCATGAATTTAATTTACATTTTTAAAGAAGAAAAACAAAGTCGCGACAGAAACTGTATTTATATAATAGAAAAGTCAATAGAGTAATTTTAAGCCATATTAAAACAAATAATTAGAATGTATTATTAGGTTTTTGATGATATAAAACAAATCTCTATTAGTTTGTGGATTAGATAAATTTAATAGTATTGAAATCGGATGGGGGTAAAATTTAATGAGAATAGATTCCGGATTTTTCAAGTATATTCTAGAAAAATCTGAGTGTTTTCGATTCTTTTTCTTTTTATTCTGTTTATTATAATACGAAAAATAAATAAAAGCAAATATATCTTTCTAATATATAGAAAAACTTTCAAATAAGAAATCCAATGATGTTTCCTCCTGAATTTCTATTTCATTTTTTCAAAAATATTGCTACGCTTATATATTTACTTGCTTAACGTAAAATGATGAAGACATTCTACATCATCATAGAATTCGGAAAGATAAATTGTATTTTTAATAAGCTTAAGAGCAATATTGATTATTAACCTACTCTACTGAAATCTGACACAAAATGCAGAAAAAAGAAGTCAGAAAAATATTTGAATTTCGTCTAATGAATTCATGATGTGGAAGAGTTTTGTTAGTTTTCTGTTAAATTTTTAATTTAGCGGAAGCTACAAGTGATGCAAAAGTAGGGATTATTCTGTTTTGAAATTAGGCCTATCGATTTATTCATATTATTCAAAAGAAATATGATTAGGCCTAGTTTTAACACAGGAAAAAATCTTAGGAATGATGAATTTATTTAGAGATTGGATCTAAGATGCTATCTCGATATAAAGATAATCAATTTTTCTCGGAGTTTTGAAACAAAATTGAAACCTGAAAACAAAAACGCCATCTTAAAAATCTCTCTTATTTTCAATAAATGTTTGTGGAAGAAAATCAATATAGTTTCATTAAAAATAATACAATATCCAAGTTGCATAAGTTAATTCATAAATATCCTTTAAATTTTAATAATAACTAACACAATTAATATTTAAATTTGAGCTAATAATGTTGCTCTGATTTAATAGTCACGACTGGTACTTAATGTTATTCCACTTATAAATAACTTAAGAAATCTTTAATAGAAATATGTTAAGATTAAAAACCATTAACTAGATTTGTCTTATAAATTTCCTTAAATTTATGTTTAAGTTTAAATTTAAAAAGGAGTCATTTTATATAGGCCTACATATCTTTAAAAGAACAAAAAAAATTCAGATATTTTTCTGATACGAGATGGAAAAAAATGTGGTTTAACGAGGAAGATCACAAACAGGCCTCATAATCCGATACTAAACAAACTTAAAACATATAAATCATTAACAAAATGCTCCTTTGGGTGTTTTAATACATACATCAAATAAAAAATTAACCCGCATTTATGGCATTCACTTCTTAGTTGTCAATGCAAGAAAAATCAATCAGACTCCATAATCAATTACGTCTAGACGCATTTCCGATTAATGGGCCTCACTATTAAAAGTTTTATTATACCAGACTTTAAAAATATATCTTCTTTTGTCGTCGAGTATTATAAAAATTTTAGAATTTCAATAATAATTCAGGCATTTTGCTTACTTTAAGAGAGATTTTTTTATAAAAGCAATTTCTACGAGTTTAACTTTTAACTTAACATTAGAGAATTTAGACAATGAGAAAGAAATTAAATCTTTTGAAATGTCATTTAAAAAAACAAAACAAATAATGTAATTAATGAACTTTTTTCTCAAATTAGAAAAATAATTTATAAAAACGAAAAACAACAAATTAGAAAAATGGAAGAAGATTTATTAAAAGGCTTAAACTATAAGAAAAAATTCGCAGAAAGAAAAAGAAAATTTTATAAAGATTAAATTGATATATATATATTTTTAAAATATACTATAAAACATTTTCTTCTCACTTATCTTTAAAAAAATTCCCATCTTATTTTTATTTCAATTCGAATTGTGTTTCACACTGTTCTGAAATCTAAACTTATACACCTCCATTTTAAGTTTTCAAAATGTTTTTATTCCTGTTAAAATAACTTTAACCAGTCAAATCAAAAGAATGCCATATTGTTTAAATAGAAAATAGCTTTGGCATTTCGTAAAAATAAAAGAAAAAAACTAAATAAAGCACTTTATAACTGTAATTTATAAATTAGAAATTGAATATTTTACTATAAATCCTAATCTAGTTTTAGTTAATATCTCTCTGTACCGAAATTTCTGAATTTTTTTAAATTAAAAAGTCTGAAAAAAATAACAAAATTAAAATCAATTATTTTCCATTTTTAAACAATATTTTATTAAATTGGGAGATAAATTTATACACTACGAATATATAAAATAATCAAGGCCTATTTATATTTAGAAAGTTGAAAAGTTATCATCATACGAGCCTATTCCTTATTCTTTCTCATATAATACAAACGAAATTAAATGATGAAATTAATAGAAACGAAATTAAATATACACGAAATATCAAATCTGCTAATAAAATTCCTTTTTGTACAGAAATATGAATACCTGGCAATTAATGTAATATAATTCTCATGATAAAGTTAAAATATCTTTTGTATAAAAAAACATTTAAAAAAAAAAAAAGGCTAATTAAGTCATTTATCATCTTCCCGAAGAATTAGAATGATGCTTCTTGATTTAAAATATATCATTTGTTTTAAATATGTTCAAATATATTAGAGAAATCCAACATCTTATAATTGTTTTAAAAATTTATCTAGTATTTAATCTTCTAAACTATTTATGTAAATATCCGGATTTTCGTTGATTAAAACATTAATCCACGTCTCTTTGTACGATTGTAGAATTACGGGAGGAACAAATTAACCATTCCGAAATCGCAGGAAGAGAAATTAAGTCTACGCTCTACGGTAGAGAAAACTTAATATAGAAACCCGATTAAATTCTCTATCGAATTAGAAATCTTATTTTGGTTTAGCAACATTAAGTTACGAGAAAGATTTGCGATAAAACAATCAGAAAAAGTAAGTAGGCCTACTTTTGACAGAGATCATACCAAAAAAGACACCTGACCTCCAGGCGGAGTATTTTTGCCCCAGGTAGAACGGTTCGAGTTTAATAGAAACGAATAAAAATTGAAATGTCCCTTCTACGGCTCTTTCAGGGAAAGAAGGCCTCAGATTGGGACGACACAAGCGGGAGTGTTACCTATCATAATATCAAATAACCGGAAATGCTTTAATACTTTTATTCACCCTACATTTCATATCTTTAATCCAAAGTCTAGCGATTGATCGAAATGCTAAAATGTGTAATTAACCATCGTTCGGGAGCGGATATAGAAGGTGAACACATCACCTAAAACTCCTCATTCGGACATTAATTATTGACAAACTGAAGAACATCTGTTAGAAAAAAATGTTAATACCAGTAGGAGAATTTTTTAAATTTTTCTTGCTTTTATTTTTAGATTTAATTCTCTAACAGAAAAATTTTAATTTTATTAAAAAAAATGTATAGAATTAAAAGAAAAAGTTAGGAAATGACTTATATTAAAATAGAAGTGATGAATTATTTATTATTCGGTTTATCTACGATTATAATTAAAATATCTCTGGTAATGTATGTGAAAAACTGAAATTTCAATTTAATCTCTAAGAGGGGGGGAAGAGGATTAATTTTGTTTCGTAAAATTTTTTCTCTGTTTATGTAACAATTTGTGAATTGTCCTTGAAATAACCGATTTGCCATTTTCTATACAATTCTATAGGAATTAGATCTCTAGGCCTACGTAATATTAAGATTTTGTTAGAGGCTATCGGCATTTGCTTCTTTTATGTCGAGAAAATTATTTATTTTGATATCTTTAAAGATATTCTGTTAAGTATTAGAGTTACCGAAATTTTTTTATTATTTTCCGTTAAACTATACATTCACTCGAGACAATATTGTGATTATCTGTGTGTATATAACGCAGCTTATTCGCAACTTTGAGAAGATTACTTTATTTACTCTTCATATTATACAAATCTTTGCTTCCGGTTTAGAATATCTTGTATGATTAAATCTCCTATTCATATTGCTAATCACAATAGCATTGTCTGAATGAATGACTGAACATAGTCTGAAACTTTTATATAAATAAAAATAATTTTTTTTCGTATTGTATATAAATTTCGTGGTACTGTACAGTACATTTTCAATAAACTGAAAGGCCTAAGAATTTAACATTTGTTTAGTAAATTTAAACGTCTGTTAAATACAAATTATGTTTCTGGTGGAAATAATAAACCCACCTGTTAAAAATAAATCTAGTTTTAATTGCAATTATAATTGAATGTGGGAGGACAGAAACAGATTGCAATAGTAATTTCAATTCTGTAGCCAATCCGGGAAAGTAACGTGAGAAATCGATTACGGATTTTAACCAAAAATTTAAAAAATATCGAAATGACAGAATTTTTTTTTTTGTTAAACATTTCTTCCATCCACAAAAGTACGACTTAAGAATGTGGGAATAATAATAACAGTAATATTCTTTAGGAAAAAAATTAAGAAAATCGAGAATTATTGGATAAACTAGTTACACTAGACTATCCGAAGCGAGATATCTTTAAAAAAATATATCTATCCTAACTTAAATTCTATGAAGTTTCATATGGGTAAGAAAAACTCTCAGCTTCAATTTACATATTGTAATATTCCATTTCAAATATCAAATTTCTTAGAAATTCCATTTGGTTCTTAAAGAAGCCTGTTCGCAATAATGTTCTATTCTGACAAAGATATAATCTGCGGACGTTGATTGAGTATCTATTTAATCCACAATCAATCTGAAAAAGGGCGGAGGAAATGTCTTCTCACCTGGACTCTAGATTCTGGCAAGTTAATCTTTAATGCCACTTCTTCCCTCATGAAGATATCTGGATAACGGGTTTTGCTGAACAGAGCTTCCAAAACATCTAGTTGGGCCCTTGTAAAAGTCGTCCTCTCTCTCCGTTGTTTCCTTGGAGGCGGCGCTGGAGCGGCTTAAAAAAGAAAAAAAAAATACATTAGTTCGAGAAAATAACTGCAATTAAAATTTTATGTATATCTTCAATAATAAAATCAATATAAAAGTATAATTGTGAGAAAAATACTGGAATTTTTCTTTAGAGTAACTACCTAAGTGTTGTTTAATATACATTGACATACTCTGCAATAGATGTTATATAAAATGATAATAATAAAAATTTATAAAATATAAATACAAATATTTATCAATTGCAAAACTCTTACTAACAGCAACATCTATATATGCAAATAAAATAAATTTTATTGTTTGTAAAACATATTCTTCCAGTACGTTAATTATATCAGCAATAGCTTCCGATAGAAGCTGCGTGTAAAATTAATATGTTAAAAATAACGGCATTGACATCAATAACAAGTAACGAGTGTTTTATTAAAAAAGAATCTATGTAAAAAAAATTAGCAAGTTGACAAAAATTATTCGCTAGACAAGAAGAGACAATATTTTACAAACATGGTTAATGGGAAAATAATTGTATGGTCGATATAATGGGATAGAAACAGGACCTGCATATTCACTTCTTTATTATTAAGTACTACTAAACTGATATGTCCCCTGAGACTCGACCGTCTCTGTGGGATTTGGGGAGTTTTATTTGATGTATTTTAATTTACTTACAACTAGAGATGGGGATGGCGTACAAATTGAGCATAATCTAGTTTATTATCTTCGTTTATATGAATAACCTTAGTATTTTAATCGGGAAAAAAGTTCACAAAATATGATTTTTATTATTATTATTATTAATGAACACCAAGGTTTTCAAATCATATTATATATTTAATTTTTCTATCAAGCTATTAAAACTTGTACAGGTTGTTTTAGTGAGAATTATTGTTTGAAAACAAACAAATAATAACACGGGTTATAGCCTATTATAGAAATTCTGTGAATGAAAAAACTTTGCGTAAAACAGAGCATATAAACAGAGCCATAAATAACTCATTATAATAAAAACATTCCCTCGTTACTTCAATGCAACATTAATCTCGTATCGATAATAATTCATACTTCAAATTCTCCATAAACAGGAAAGGGGAAATAAATCTTACCATAAAACGATCCATAGTTGAAATTCCAAGAAACGTATCCAGGTTCCATAACACCCTAACACGGTTTCCAAAATGTTAATTATAAACATTCATCGTATCTCTGTACACTGACGACGATGCTATATAAATTTTAATTACAAATGACTATTGCTATGTATCTTGCTGTCAATATATGCATCGCACGCAATGTAAAAACATCAAAGTGAAACGTGAACAATGAGAGGAAATCATTCTCATTAAACTACTTTGGTCGTTATCTATATTCTAGGCAGATGATTGTTGACGTAAAAACTTCTATATACCATGTAATGAAGACGATTTAGCAGCACTTCGGAATATTTTACGAGATGTAAAGATTCGACGAAACTACACATTAACACGAAGAAAAAAAAGGACACATACAGTTCTTATCTAAGAAGAATTTGTTTAACAACTACCTCCCTGCTCCTAACAATGATAACTGATTTTATATAGGTATAGAATGTATCCGAGTAGATCGAATTAATTAGCATAAATTTCAAATGATTTTATTTTTTCCAACTTCAATAAATCCTGTAAATAATTACATAAAACTATTTAAATAAAGTTTATTGTATTTTTAATTGAATTCAATAAATTTCATTTTTTATATATTTTTTTCAATTTACAAAAGAGGGGAGGAGAATGAAAAAATGCAATAAGCAATTAAAAAAAACGTGCTGCCCTCTAGTTTTAATAAATTAAATTTCTAATAGAAAAACGGGGGATCTAAACTGATGTTTATCTAGTTAATACCGGTGTAATAATAAATCCGTAATTAAGTAAATCGGATTTTAAAAACCTTACATAAAATAATAATAATAATATAGGTGCAAAATTGTATTATCGTGTTATTAAACGCTATCTAGACATCTTCATATTATAGGTTACTCAGTAGTTGTTTATAAATGTTATTTAACAGTCATTAGCGATGCCTCTTAAATACCACATTCTTTGTCAGTTAGTTAACCACTAACGTAAGTGACAGACATCTGACAATGTTCAGTGCGAGATAACTGGCAAAAGATCGTAAATTGTATCCCCCAAATGCACATCAAGCCCTCAGCGGGACACAAACGAGTTTATTTCCATGCAGTTAACAGGTTCTTCGCATCTACAAGTTCAATTGACAAAAGAGGTTTTTTTTCCGCCCCCTTCTTTTTTCTAAAGCTGTTCTTAATCTGTTTTTTTCACTTAAAATTTTTTTCTCTAAGTATAATCTTCTTGATGAGTTTTAAATAAATGATCGGTTAAAAATTACTAGACGCATTCACAGGTTTTTAATTCTTGTTAGACTCATTTAATTTCACAATATAAATGCGGATTTTTCTTTTGTCTGTTGGATTATTAACACTTTACTCAATAAAAAAAACTGTTAAAACACTTTATATTTTACAGATTTAAATTTTTTTTTTGAGAAATTTAAATACTGTAAAATATAAATAAATATTGATTTTAATTTTTTCATCAATCGTTTGATTTTGAAAGACAAATGTTATCCCATTATTTATTATTTCAAATCAGTTTCAATTATCAATAAAGAAAAAAAAGGGAAAATTAATTGCGAATTCATTTAATCATCGAATTTCACTATATCATTGGATTTCTAAGCTTCTTATGTCGAAAATTTACTTATAATCCATCAAATATTCTACAATGCAGCACGAGAAGTCGTACAAGACAGCTAACAAATTTAAATTAGGATTTCAATAAAGGACGAAAATAAGATTTTTTTTTTCTAATACTTCTGATATCAAATTTTACAGATATAGTTTGGTTAATTTAAAAAGTTTTATTTTTAGTACGTAGGAGAAAAAATTAATTTTTTAAATCGATTTTACTGATAAAACAGGCCTAGATCCATATAGTATTACAGAAAATTTTACATGTCCTCACGGTGTTTTCTTAATTTACACCCAAGCTGAATTAAGGTTAATATTTTCCCCCCCCAAAAATATATTGTAAGTTTAAAATACTACTTGGAACACAAAATAGTGGAATGGTCTCGAGCGATGTCACTTAAAGGATTCATGCAGCAGAAAATACGGTTTAGTGATAAATCTTTGGGTTATCTGATAGATTTAATTATGTAATAACTAGGCTACCTCTCTACCAAAACGGATGTGAAATAAATGATTGATTGATGTTGTTGGGCCAAATACCTACGACCTCTGCAAATATGGCATCTCTCGTGACTCGATCACCATTAGGCAATGACTTGTTATGTCGGTCGAGATATTTTTAACGGTTGATTTGCCCCCTAAATCTGTGTAACGCTTGAAGTTTATCATTGTCTCAAGCTAAAATGTACAACAGTTTCTTTTTGAATGAATGATAACGGTTAAGAGGTCTCAAATAGGCCTAAAAACGGAATTATCTCCAGTTTCTAATGAAAACTGTATCAATTTTATACCGAAAACTTGTGTTAAATCCAATATCAAAGAAAAATTAGAATTTATGTTATAGAATATAATAATATTAATTAAAATTATACTATTGTCTCCTAATTTCTTACGTAATCACTATTTACACTGCTATTTATGAGAAATATTACATTTATGATATAATATTTAAATATAAAAATTTACAAAATTCCAATTGAAGATCATCATTTAATGTTAATTTGACGATTTATTGGCATGTTATAAGGCGCGCATTATATTAGATTAGACTCGAATTTCTCTTAGCTACGTTAACATCGGGCAGATATCTAGCGAGAGGCAAAAATGAGTTTTCAAAGTTAATCCTGTTTGGTCATAAAAAAAAATTCCAATATATTTTTTTCCTCGGTGCAAATCTAGACGAAAAAATACACGGTTTGTTATATATTATAGAAAGCTCCAAACTAATAGTGTTACGTTCTTATTTCCATTTCCACACCCTTTTTTTTTGATAGAATTGAAATGGTAGCAGGCCTAAATATTTACAGTATATAAATACACGTATATTTCTTTTTATAATAAATTTTAAGCAAAAGAAGGTTAGCTTTTTCAGGTCTAAACCGAGATATATTATTATAATTGGAAAAAAATCCTTGAAAAAAAAACAGAGATAGGAAACGCAATTTATTACTTTTTCAGATAATTATTATGACCTTAATTTTTATTATGTTTTAGTCAATAAATCTTAACAAAACCGAAAGATAGCATTAAAAAAACGGTCTTTAGTTTTATTCCCTCCCCCTGTATGGTCAGGAAATTAACACATCCAATGAGAGAAAAACAGGAGGTTGCAATAGTCGTATATCATCGGTGTGTCACATGACCTGACAGCGAATGCTAACGATGTCAGCCATTGGTGGAATCGAACGGTGCGTGTTGATGCTTCAACACGCAATTCTAGTCATGAAGATGGGAGGGAGGATAGACATCCTTGGCATGTCTCGTCAATCAGTTTTTAGGTTTAAATAGAGGGCTTTCTGGGTGGGCAGACTCTGTTAATTTTCAAAACCGCGAATATGCTCCGGACAAATTGTTTTCCGCTAAAACACTGCTCATTGTTTCGACGTATTCTGAGTTATTTATGGAACACATCGGGCAGATTTATTGAAAAAATTAGCTAAATTAGGAAGGGACTTTTTTCTTTGACATTATTTTAATTCCTTTATCTGCTTATTTATTACGTATGGCAAGAAATGCTCGTTTTAAAGTAGTTTACAGCCCGGGGTTATTTTTATCTTTGGTCGAATTTTCTTGGTTTAAATTTCAGTTCGAGAATTTCTTTAATTTAAATTAGGTAAATCCCATAAGCCGAATGAAGATTCTGTTTATACCATCGGATTGGCAGATGACATTGTCATAACAATAATCGATTTATTGATTTATAGGTCCAGTTTTGCCCACTTCCTCTTCGAAAAAGATTGGATTCAAGGCTTTAGCATTTAGCC